TATAAAATGAAAACAACTTGACGTATATAAAACTTGTATAACTTTTTCTTATAATCTAAATAAAAATATTACAAATCGGTCAATTTTTTACTTTATTTTATAGATCTGAAAATAGTTTTTTAAGATCTTTTAAAGGAGAAAACTTTACTTATACACAAATGCCACGGGGTCGTATTCGAGAAAATCTTGGTCCATATGCTATATGTAGTACTCAAAAAGACGATCAAATATATAAAAAATTAACAAATTGGGCTGTAGAAAAAGCTAATCAAAATCCCAATAATTCTTTTTTACAATTTATATTTAAAGAAAATGATCAGTTATGTATAAAGCATTATAACGAATTTGTGATTTATGACAGAAATAATAGAAAATCAAAAAGAAAAAAGAAAAATCAAGATTCATTATATCATAATACTATACCAAGAAAAAAAATATGTGTTGAATTAAATGAATATGAAGAACTTTTAAATATTTCTAAAGAAATAAATATTTTAAAAAAACAAATTAGTATTTTAAATACTGAAAAAGATGAATCAAGTAAATTTTTATTAAATTATTTTATATTCGTATATGTAACAAAATTAATTTAAAATTATTATAAATTTTTTATAGATTTTGAAAACGCATAGAAAATATGACAACAATACTTTATCAATATCAAAAAAAAGAACATCAAACTCATTTTGATATTAATGAGTTTGTTGAATTAATTAATTAATAATCATGATCCTGAATTTCAAAATTTTTTTAATACTTTATATTCTGCAATGAATCCTAAAAGCAAAAATAAACAGACTTGTCAAATATTAAAACAAAAAATTGTAATGATATGCTATCAATTAGCATCATTAAGTAATAAGCAAATATGCAATACTAAAAAATCAATTGGGCTATTTCTAGTTAGTTGGGGTGCATCTGTTATAGGAATAAATACTTTAGCAAATATGGGAATTTGTTCGACATATCAGACAGTTTATAATGAATCAGAAAAGTTAACTAAAAATCATCAGTCAAACATACAAGAATATATTCAAGCCAATTTAAAAAATTTAGTAATTGGATGTATTGACGATTACCATAATCTTCATGGAACTCGAATACCGAATGTAACATCAATATCACAAATTGCACATATGGCTACTATATTATTTAATTCATGTGAAGTTGATCCGATACTTTTTATTCAAATGATAATTTTCCAATACATAATATTAATGGAGTTGATTCAACTATTTTGAAAATGGCTTTATTTCAAGATCATATACAAGAATTATCAAAAGGTTATTATACGATTAAACAAAATTGGATTCAAAATTTATTCAATGAAAATATATTAGAGTTATTAATAATACATTCATATGATGCAGATTTATATGGAAAATATGGACGTATTTTTAATAGAATTAAGTTAGTAGAATGTATTAAGACTAACTTAAAAAATACACAAGATTATTTAAAGGCAATTGAAACATTTATCAAATTACCATCTATGCAACATTATTTACAAAATTATGTAGTTCCAATTCCTGCTGATTTTCCAGGACAACTTTTTATTCGTAGAGCAATTACAAACAAAATGCTGAAAA